ATCTTCATGCTAGCAAAATCATTTGCTTCGTATTAACTCATCTTATATATTTTTAATTTTCCAGAAGTGATAGAATGACATTAGGACAACTTTTATTGAAATTGATCCTTTGAAAATTCCTTTAATGTATTTCCCAAATGTAGCAATTAACATGACCTTCATTTTTACTGAATTTTTGCTGAAATGACTCAATACAAATTCATTTGGCTGATTTATATAAAGCATAATTTGAATAATCTCTTGAGTGATCATAGCTCATTTAATTTCTAAAGAGGGAGAGACATTTTGATATGTATAAATCAGAGGTTCTCAACCAGGGACAATTTGGCAATGTCTGGAGACATGTTTGGTTGGCACGAATTGGAGGGTGCTCCTGGCATCTAGAGCGGGGCCAGGGCTGCTGCTACATGCACAGAACAGCCCTCAGAACAAAGAATTATTAATATCTGGCTAAAATATCAATTGTGCTGAGCTTGAACACTAAAAGCCTGGTATAAATGTGTTCTTCCCACACCACCAATAGGTGAGAGCTCTGTGATTTAGTGGAAGATGGAACTGCTGATTCCAGGAAGGAGGGACCTGGTATTTAGGGCTGTGACTATTTAGAACAAAAGCCTCCCCAAGGCATTAGCCGTGCGTGGTAAAATGCTCTGAAAAGCCCACACCTCTACACGAAGACTGCACATACGTGCCCCTCCCTGTCACCTAACCATGATGACAATTTATAGTACCTTTATTTTAAGAAAAAAGGTAATATGTTATAGTCTGAAAATTATAAGCCTCTAAAAATTACCTGTTCTCATTAAATGTTCTGCCCTTACACGGCAAACATGCAATTTCATCTCATCACTGTCGAACTACATGTTCCATTTTCACCGTCTTTCCCTTTGACGTGGCATTTCCCTCTTCTCTAACGGCCACTTTCCAAATCCCAGGGAAAGAATGTTTCAGGCGCTTGTGTTGTTTTTCTCTTTCTTTCGTTCAGGAGGTGAAGATGTTAGGGCAGGGGTCAGAGTGGTGGCCTGTGCAAGAAGTGCGATTCCCGCTGGGAGTAGTGCGATTCCCGCTGGGAGTAGGTCTGTGTGACTGGCTTCATGGTTAACAGAAGGGGATTCCGTGCTGGTTTGGACCTGACACATCGAAAAGCCAAGTGCAGGAGAAGAGTTTACTCTTAGACCCTAGTTGATCTGAGCTCAATTTTGGGGCTCACCACACAGCAGTTCTCCAATCCACCTCCATGCTTGATGGCTGCTTGGTGAGAGCGGATGGAGCGGTGGGCTGTTCGGTGTCAGGCATGGGCGTGAGCCCTTGGCATCATGCCCTCTGCAGAGCTAGCACGTTCTGAGGGCTTACAAACACTTTTGTCCTCCTTCCTGTATTACCTTTATCATTGCTGATCTGTTTTGGTGTGGAGCTGTGATAATCCACCTGTGGCCTTCCCAGAGTGGACTGGTGTGGGTGCCCCGACCTCCTTGCTCTTCTAAGTTACACCTAAAATGCCTCTAACGAGTGTTATTGTATTTTTAAACACGTCATTGAATGTGTTAAGGCTCAGGCCAGGAGGATCAGAAAAGAGGGGCTATTTCATGTGGCTACTCTCTAGACTGGAGGTTTGGAGCAGCCTCTAGTTTTGTGGACTATGACGCCTTTTCCAAGACTGAAAATCATACTTTTAATTTTATAACCCAGAAAAATGAACACTCACGCACCCCTTGTTCATCACAACACTCTGCCTCCGCAGGGATTATGGACCACTGGAGAGATGCACCTCCGGCTCCCTATTTTCCTTCCCATTCCACCCCCACCTTCATACCAAGGGCTCTTGCTCCTACGGAAGCTGTACTCTTGCCTCGTCTTGGTTTGCAGTTCCTTCACTTTTTTCTCTGCCCTACCTGAACATTTTGGCCAATGAGAACATTCTGGAATTTCATATGTTCTTAGCGGTCCCAACCATTGACATGCTGTGAGGTTCTTAGTCCTGGTGAGTCCCCTGTTATTCCACTCATATCCACTCCACACCTGCTGCTTATCAATGCATGCTGCTGGCTCCTCTGCAAATTCATACATGCATAGAGAGCTGGGTATGCAGTTGGCACTCAGTAAATACTGGATGAATGAGAGACTCTAAACTCAGCTGGACCTTTGGGCTTCTAGTCAGGTTTCATCATATTGGTTCAACTCCTGTGTAATTCATCCAACATTTTTCTACTCTTTACTTTAAAAATTCCATCATCACTTCTTTGTCCTATCTGTCCATTTGCTTTGACTCAAAAAATATACACTGTGAAATTTGATGCACCCTCAAATGAATGCTTTCTCCATCTTGAAATCTCACTATAGCTTCATGCATACACTCCTTTTTTAAAGACAAGGCCTCTTTCCTCTCTACTTTCTTTACTGGGACCCCAACAGCTTCGCACCTCCATTTTTCCTAAATATTCTTCCTTCTCCTCCCCTATTCAATATACAATCTCTTCTTCACTAACCACTTCTCAGAAAAGAAGCCACATTTAATTATCTGTTTTCTCTATCTTAAAATTTTCCTAGCTTTTGTCTTTTAGTGCCTACATCATTTCATAGAATTTTCTTTGGTCACTTAACATTAAAGGTGGCCATGCACATTCTATTCCACCTCCCTCCATGCAGTTCCTTCTTGGTTCATTGCTATATGGATTCTGTTTTCTCTTCTGCTGGGCTTGTCACCCCAACTCTCACCGTTGACTGTCGACTAAAGCCAGTGGTCTGTGCTCTGCCTGGTCCCGGTGCTGTCAGCCAGTCCTCGTTTTTAAAGGCGTGACTTTTGTGCTCCAACCTCACTCGATCTCCTTCCCTTGATACTCCTGTCTCTACTCTCGACTGTCACCTTAGTGTCCTCACTTTTTCAGTTACTACCTTGTATAACAATAACCATCTCTCTTTAGGTTTTTTGTTTCTTTGTTTGTTTTTTAACAGTCATGCTTCCCCTGGGTGAATGTCAACCACATCCAGGATTTCAACCATTCCAAACACTCTGAGCTACTTCTGAATGCCGTTCTTCTTGAGCACCCAAACTGGCTTTTCAACAGTTTGCTGCATTTGCCTAAATATTCATTCAGTGTCTTAAACTTAACGTGCACGAAACTAAATGATCCTGTTCTCATCTAAACAAAATTATCCTATTCAAAGGAATGGCACCACTGTCTTTGAATTCACTTGCGTTATCTGTCTTGAGTCCATCTGTGCCTTTTTGCTCTGTGTTCCCCAAAGTTAGCAGTTTAGAACAGCAACCATTTTATTCTATTTTGCATTTTTTGAGGGGGTCAGGAATTTGGGCAAGGTTCAACCTGGTGATTCTTTTGCTCTCGTGGTACTTACTGAAGTCACTCAGTGGCTTTCGGCTTGGCTCACACATCCGGTGCCTCAGCAGGATTGGATGGGTCAGAAGCTGGCTGGGTGCAGCATGACCTGCCAACCACAGCATCTCAATGTGGTCTCCCTAGCTTATTGATGCAGGAAGTCTCAGGGAAGTTGGGATTCTGACCTTGTGTCTCCATGTCCCAAATAATGTATTCTAAGCAACAGGAGGTAGCAACTACCAGTCTCATGGAGCTCAGACTTGGAAACTAGCACAGCATCTCTTCTGTTGCATTTGATTGAGCAAAGCAGTGACACAGCCACCCCGGATTCCAGGTGGGGGACATAGACTCACCTCTCAATGGGAGGAGCCTCAGAATCTGTGGGCATCTTTAATTTGCCACACCTCCCTTCACCTGCATTCATCGTGCGCTGTGTTTACCTTTTTATTCACAGTGACACCACCCTGAAGTCACAGCTCCATTTATTTCCCTTCTGAACAATTGCAGTAGTTTCAAATTAACTTCTCCACCTCTGTGCTCTTCTCTACCCCATTTCCTATGTATGCTATTGTGACAATGAGCTTAATAATATTCATAAGGTCTTCTAATATTATTAATAATTCACTATGGTACCTGTTGCCTAAAAGTAAAGACCTCATACCTTAGTGTAGTTTGCCCCCTAAACAATGTTACTTCCCTTTATGTTTCCTGGACCTGGATCGAGGACAGTAGACCATTCCCCAAACATGCTGCAGACCCCTCACTCTTACCCTTGCAACGTGCCTTTCCATCCTCTTCCCTGCGGGTGGAACGTCCTTCCCGAAACCTCTGTCTGTTGGAATCCGCTGCATCCTCTAGTATTAAACTTCTCCAGGGACCCGTCCTTGAGTCGCAGTAGTACTCTCCCAGAACTCCCACGCCGCTCCTGTTCTTTTTAAGGTTTGCTAACAGCTTGGCTTATAGTTATTTTTACAGGCCTATCTTGTTTTAACGCTTGTTAATCTTTTAAATTGTTCATAATCTTTAAAAGTCTGGCTGCTCCCAGCACAGGACTTTCATTTCACCCAGTAGGTGCTCAATATAGATTTTATTTGATTCGCATTTGATCTCTAGCCAGAAATGTTGCTGGTGGGTCATCTATAAATGTAACAAATTTAACGAGGTTGAAATTTACCAAGTGTGCATGATTTTTAAGAGTTGGGTAGCATAATATTAATCAGGTTATTAGTAAAAGACAATGGTCATAGACTTATTAAAAATAAGTCTTTTAGATGTCAAAAAGGGGTGGGCAGGGATCGGTAGGCTTTCCATGTATAGATTTGTGTTTGCAGAAGGGAGTAGGAGAATTGTGCAAGGGGAAACCGATAGATGATCACAACTATTAATCTGCATTTTTTAGGAGTGACTGTGATCACTCAGTGGAGCTTAAACTTGAACATTTCTCCTTTTATAATAAATAGGGTATCTCATAAAATTATTGGCAGAAAGAGAGGTATGTCTTGAGACACGTGCACACACACAGACACACAGAAATATTACCTAGAGAAGGATGTTGGCTTAACCTCTATAAGCTCTCCTTCGTCTCCACCAAGTCAGCAACGGAGCTTTCCCAAAAGACCAGCCTGAGCTCACAGTCACCCACCTGCCGTCTTTTGTGTGTTGCAGGCACTCTTCACACATGAGGGGAAGACGAGCTTCTGTTTAGAAGACGAGCGCCCAGAGTCGGAGGCCCCCTGCCCACCATGAAGGGGATCCGCGTCCTTGCGTGGCTGCTCTCAAGCCTGGGGCTGTGGAGACTCGCCCACCCGGAGACACAGGGCGCGGCTCAGTGTCAGCGGGCTGAGCACCCGGTCATTTCCTATAAAGGTAAGGAGAGGCAGCCTCTGATTGCAAAGCTGCTGTTTAATAGCACACGATGCATGCAGTGATGGAGGGTAACGGAGTATCTGTTGCTCTAGTATTCTGTGACACTTCTTTTAGATGTTGCTTAAAATAAAGGCAAAACTGCAAAATCCTCTGTCGTAAGAATTTCTTATCCAGAAACGGATCACTGCCCCAAGAAGGATCTACGAAAGGGATGACCACTGGTGGGAAACCCCATTATTTGAGCCCATTTTTATTTAACAGGTGCTGCAGGTCTCCTGTGCACTTGTACCAGGGTATAAAAATGTGCCCCACATAAATGACAACAGAACCAAGTAAAACAAAAAGTTCTTCACTTTGGCACCTTCCATCAAAGCCTCAGTCATGACACAAAGCTTAGACCTCTGTCTGTCCAGCATTGTATGGCAGCAGAGTTGATTGAATGTCTCAAGTATGTCCACGCAGCAATAGGATATATTTATCAGCATGTCCATGCGTTTATTCTTTCATTCATGGAAATGTCTTTAGCTGGGAGCATTCAGATGGGAAACAAGTAGTCTTTGTCCTATCCTCAGGATGCTTATAGTTATATTATCAGCCTACATACGATTAATCAGACATTGTATTCTAGTAATTCATGCAACAAATAGATTCCTCTTTTGTTATTTTTAAACTTTGTATCATAAAAACATTCAAATAGTTATGAAAGTTGAAAGGATCACATAAGGAACACCCAGCACCATATTTATGAATTCATGGCCCATCAGGTTGTCATCTGAATCCCCACCCTCACTCCATCACACCACCAACCAATTATATTGAAGCAAATTGAAGAACTCATATTATTTTATCACATGCCAGTTTATAACTCTCACAGATAAGGAATTCACAATACTGTTATCACAGCAAGCAAACAAACAAAACCCCAAACAAAGGAATGATTTCATAAAATCATGAAACGTCCGCTGGGTGAGTATTCAGAGATCATCGATGGTCTCCTGACTACTTAGGCATTTTTGTTTTGTTTTGTTAACAGTTAGATCTAATCAGGATCAAAATGAAGTTGAAACATTGCAGTTGGCTGGCATAATTTTTGAGTCTCTTAATCTTTTATTGTTTTTGTTATTATTGTTCTATTTGCAGTTTAATTTTTGTAGAAACTGACCTCCTGGTCCCGTAGAGCTTCCCACAGTCTGGATTTTGTCCATTGCATGCTGTTTGTGTGGCTCTAATGGTCCTCTTTCCCAAGTGTCCCTGTCAATTCCTAGTGACACCAAGAGGGCTGATTAGATTCAGGTTCAAGTCGCTTTATCCTGACCGTGTCGTGGCTGGTGCTGCGTCCTTCCATCGGGAGGCAGAGAGTGTCCAGGCGGGAGGTTATCGGTCGTGTTGGTGATCACTGCCTAAATCTACTGATCGACTCCTGGGTGCAAAACTAGGATTCTCTAGTTTTGCTTTCTTCGTTTAATGGTTGGGAGACATTTATATCAACTAACTTTCCTCCATCAACTATTTGGATATCCTGGAAGTACAGCTCATATAGGAAAGGCAAAATAAATGCTTTCCCTTCCCTACTACCAGATTGTTTTCTTAAGAGACTGATAAGGTGGTTCTCTAACCTCCAATTCGTCATCCAAAGGGAATGAATAAGATGTTAATATTGTGTTTGCTTTTTTATTTCTTTTGATTATTAGGATCATTATTAATACATGGATTTCAACATATTTGATGTATTTTAATCCATGTAGCTTTTGTCCTTCTAGATGGTGACACTGTGGCATTTCAAGCCCAGGGGAGCCTCTCGAGGTTGGCTCCTAAGTTCTGACACCACCCAAGGCATCACTGAGAGCTTCTGTACTCTCTGGGTTAACAGGATGTTCCTTCTCCTTTCACCCACTTCCTTCCATGGATCTGGGAATCACCCCTGTCTGGCTTCCATGAGCACTGGAGGTGTTCACAGTTAGGTCTTTTTACTAGACAGTGCTAAGAAAAACATTTTAAAAAGTATACCATAAGCTTCTCCTGATACTTCCCATTCATCTGCAGGACTCCAGGGTCTTTTCCTCTCCCATCTTCTGTCTCTGCCTGTTTTTCCCCCATTTCTCCCGTGTGAAGAGTCCCACGTCTCTGGGGGTCGATCTCCTCATTCCTCTGCCTTTGCCCGCAGTGCACACTCAGCTGTTTCAGAATAACAGTTCTGTGCAGCCCTAGTTGTTCTTGATTATTGAAAACCCCTTTCAGATTATATTTTTGCCTCTACTTTTGGTCCTCAGGGTATATATTTTACTGGGGAATTCAAGCAAAATTACTGCTTTAAAATCACTTGAAATAATTTCCTTCTGTGTGGTTATGGCACCAATCCAAAACCCAGTTAATTTCATTTGTTTCATTTTGCTTTTGATTTTTAGAGATTCTTAAAATGTACACAAAGTTATTAAGTAGTGTTTCAAAGTCAAAGTTATTGAAAGAAGGGGTGTTCTGAGGAATCTAAATTTACTCCCTGTTTTCTTTACCACGTTCCCTCTCTCTCTGTACTTAGCTAACCATTTACTTCTATTTCATGGTTTAGGCTGCTTTTGTAATATAAACAAAGTAATACACATAAATATACATACAAATATGTATCCATATTCTCCTTTCTCAGATAAAAGTGACACATATACATATAAACTTGCCTCTGTGCAGTGCTTTTTAGCATAATGATATATCCTGGAGCCTCTTCTGTAGAAAAATAGTGAGATTTATGTCATTTTTTCTTTGTAGCCACCTGCACCCCACCATGTGATGAACCCTAGTCTATGCAACAATTCCCTATCGAGGCATGCTTAGGTTATTTTATGGCATTTGTGACCACAGATAATGTTTCAATGAGCAGTGCCTCCGGCAAACATCATTTCATATTTTTGTATGGGTACCATTGGAAGAGACTCCTAGAATTGGGTTTTCTGGGTCCAATGGCAAATACATATGTGGTTTTGCTACATGTTGTCCAATGCCCTTTCATGAAAGTTGCACCATTTTGCATTCTCATTACGCTGGGTGTGAGTATCTATTTCCTTGCAGCCATTCCTGCAGCGTGGGCAATCACTCTTTGGGGTCTGGGCCAAACTCATAGTTCATAAATGGTATCTCAGTGTATTTTTAACTTGTATTTTGAAATTTTCAGTGAACACTCAATGAAAAATTAATAGGAGCCTATTACATAGAGGTTTCTGTGCTAAATGTTGCGGTGATTGAGGCAAAAAGCATAGTCCCTGTTATAGGGGTTTAGACTGTTTTCAGGGACATGAACCAGAAGGGCCATTGCACTATGTTCTGCCAAGGGCCCTAATGGTGTCTGTGTTGGGTGCCGTGGAGCCCAGGAGAGGGGCTCTAGGCAGACTCTGGGGCTGTAGGACAGTGGTTCAGGACCGTTTCTAGGGTGAGGCCATGTCAGAGGTGAGTCCCAAATGTTTGTTAGAAGGTGTTTATGAGGCTCATGGAGGAAGAAGTATTCCCGGGAGAGGAAAAGAGCAATGATAAGCCCTGAAGTGAGAGAAAGAGCACTTCAGGTCCTCACGAGCATCAAGCGCAGTAAGGACCTCTGACATCTTTCAGTCATGGAGGAGGAGGTGGGACTCAAGGAGGAGTCCCACGTGTGAGTGGCTGGTGGGGATTCAGTAATGTGTGGCATTGGAAGGCATCTCAAGTTCTCCCTCCATCTGGAGGATGGAAAATGCTGCAGGGAGAGCCCATTCTGAGGTTGCTTCTGTGATCCGAGGGAGAGCAGAAATGTGGGGAAGTGGGTGGGTTCTAGAAATTCGAAGGGAGTTGTTGATGATTTCATGGGCATAGAGCAGGGAGGGGGAGGAAGCGCCGAGTGCTTCCCTGTGTTGTTAGATGTTGATTCCATCTAGAGTCAGGAAGAGAAAGCAGATGTGAAAGATGCCATGATTTTAAATTAAAAAGGCTGAGTTCCTGGGAGCCATCAGGCAGAATCATCTAATTGAGAGGTAGGCTTCATGGCAGCCAAGAAAGGGGAGATTCTCAAGGAGGAGGGACCGTCTGAGTATCCGATGATGCTGAATGTTCAGCATAGGTACGGGCCAGGATGTGGAGTGACAGACTTGTCCCGGTGTGCTCAGGATGTCCCCGGCTTTAGCCCTGATAGTCCTGTGTTCTGGGAAAACCAGGACAGTTGGTCACCCTCCCAGAAGTTATGTCATCAGTGGGGTATCAGCAACTTGGTGCTGCTGGAACCAATAACCACACACTGGGTGGCTTCAAGAAGCATAAATGTCTTCTCTCACTGTTCTGGAGGCCAGAAGTCCAAAACCAAGGTAGGGGCAGGGCCATGCTCTCTCCGAGGGCTCTAGGGAAGAGTCCTTCTTTGCGTTCTCCTAGCTTCTTGTGGTTGTCCACAGTCCTTGGCATTCCTTGGTGCGTAGATGCAGCACTCAAATATCTCAGCCTGTAGTCCATGGCATCCGTCCTGGTTGTCCATATCTTTTTGTCTTCTCCTCTTTTTATAAAAACATGAGTCATATCAGATTTAGGGCTAACTCGAGTCCAGTGTGACCTCATCTTAAACTATTCATCTCCAAAGGTGCTATGTCCAAATATTGTCACATCCACAGGTACCTGTGGTTAAGACTTCAATATATATCTTTTTGGGGGACACAGTTCAACCCATACCAAACAGCATTTATCAGAGCAGTTTCAGGGCAGTGTTGGGGGAAGAAACAAAATGGTGATGGGTGGGGGATACATGTAAGGTGAAGAACTAGATATGAAAGAGGAGAAGTATCCTCTCAGCCAGGCAAGGGCATGAGGACAGGGGATAGCTCTTAAAAGAGAATATTTAATTGTCCTTAAATGGTGATGGGAAGAGGCAGGTGGGTGAAGGAAGAGGCTGAGTAGAGAAGAGAGAGAGAGGGAGATAATTGGTTCTGCAAAGTCCCGGGGCTGTAGGAGGGGATAGGATGCTGGGAACAGGTGGGATTAGGTGGTAGGAAGCCTACTCC